GGAAACGGATTTAAAGAATTAAGAATGTAGGACCGCGAAAATCCAGATTGAAAATCACGAATATAAAAACGATTTAAATCAATAATAAACGATAATAAAAGCATAAAACGTTTTAATAAAACCTTTTAGAAAAGACGAGACACAGAGTCGAGATATGATCTCTTTCCTTAATTCTTTAAATCTCCTGCAGTGTGGCGGTTTTGAAGAGATTCAGAATCCCAGGATACAACCGTGTTGAGACTAAAATCGCAGCACCCGACTATAGAATCTGCGAACTTATGAATCTACGCTATACTCTCGAGACTCACCTAAGACTGTAGAGACGAGAGGGATTTGCTGGATATTTGTGTTTTAGAAAGCTATAAGTTTTTCGTTGATAATCAATAATGAATGAGAGAGACGAGTATATATAGCGGATAGAAGGATTGGGGCGCAAGGGTTTTCCTTGGTCGCCACTTGTAAATAAACGGAAATATTCCAAAAATCTTCTATTCCTTGATCGCAAAGAATAATAGAAACGGAAATATTCCGAAAATCTTTTATTCCTTTCTGATAAGGATCTGGGCGAAACAGATATATTACAGAAATATTATGTTATTAATTTTCGACTCAATCATAAAGATTTATCGAGTTATGCAAATTATCTTTAAGGAATATTAACATATTTATGAAAATAGGTTAATAAATATTTACTCCAAAAAGAATATCTTGTTGTGGACTAAAGCCCCCAAGACCCAAGATCCAAGACTCAAGCCCAAGTCCGGCTCGGCACGGCACGCGCGTGTGTGTGGTTTTGCATAACAGCCCTTTATCTCCTTCTCCATAGTGTCCTCTTCTAAAGGCTAGTAAACCTTGTTGAGAGTGTATCACTATATATACTAGTGGAAAATTCTTCCAACTTTCGATATGGGACAAAAATGCTCATCTTGACATTTGTTGACTTTTTATCTTGACCACTTTAACCAAAGATTTATCATTCAAACCAACTTCGTTTTTGACAAGTGAATACATTATGTTATAGTACTCATTATAAGGAATCCAAAAAATCCATAATCCAGATAACTGTGCTCACCGGAAATGTCACCGGAAAACTAGCCTGAGCCATTTGTCAAAAACTGAGTTCCAACGCTTTGTTCCCGTAAGAGCTTAAGCCTTGCTCCAGATTGTCCCTCAAGCATCCGATGATTCTCTGGTTTCCTCTGAGTTCGAGTAAGATCTCTAACTCTCGTTGAAGATTGTCCAAGTCGTCCTCGTAGGAGTTTTTCACGGCGGCTTCAAAGGAGGAGCCGTCGGGATGAGTGTATTTCACGAGATGGACACAGCCGTAAGAGCCTTCACCTAGAAATTTCACGAATTCTTCGCTCGATTGCATCGTTGATTTTTTAGGGTTTCTGAAACTGAATCACTATCTGGGGAAACAAAAAAATGCAGCGAGAGAAAGTGGCAAAAAAAAACAAATTGTGATTGTGATAGAGAGAGAGCGAGAAAAAGGAAATTGGATTGTGGCAGAAGGAGAGATGAGGGTTTTATAGTGAGGGTTCAATCGAGTGGTCTGCACCGTTGAAAAAAAAAGGAAATTTGTAGCCTGAGATATGGAAAAAAAGGAAATTTGTAGATTTGGGTCAAGTCGGCGACGTTTTTTTCGTAACGGTCATTTATTTGTACCGTATCTGATTGCTGGAGGACAATGGTTTTGCTAACATGTTCCCAAGGGACAAGGCCACAAATCCACAAGCTCAAATGTTTTCTGATCCTAACATTTGAAATGGTTACAAACGCAAGATTCAGCGGTTTGGTCTTTCTCTCATTTTGACTAGTCTCAAGACGAAGCATGATCCTTATGCTAACTTTTTCAGAGAAGTGCCCTGAGACTGCCACGTGAGCGAGTGCGGATTTCTGAAAGAAAGGTCAGATTAGTTTTCCATTGTAATTGTTAAATAAGTTGAAGTTTTGTCAAAATTGTATTTTGAATACATTCTAGTTACTTTTTGAGTTTTCATTGATAGCTTAGTTCTTAGGATATAACTTGCTTGCCATAGACGTTGTCTCCTTTCAGCTACATCAACTGTTGGATGCTAATATGCTGAAGAATCTGACAAATGGTGGGTCCTTCACTTTAGTCTCAAAGAGACGGTGTGTCTAATCTTCAAGCTCAGAGATCCATCTCTGTTTCATCTTCTTCCTCGACTCTCTTTTATACTTCTTAGGGTCTAGCCGTGGTACAGCCTGTTTCTCACCCGATCCATCCATCTTGTAGTACCTGTGTCAAAGGCCTTCCACATTCGTGACCAATCTCAAACATATAAAGCTCTTGTTTCAAGAAGAATCCAACACAATTACCTAACATCACCTTCCTTCTTGGTTCCATGCTTCTTAAGCTGAGACTCCTCCTCGATTCTAATCTCATCAAGCAGCTGTAAATAGTAAGGATACCTTTCCCAACCACCTTCTCTTACAGCACATCCTGATACACCTATATGCGAGCAGTCTTCGAATCTACATTTCCCGTCTTCGATCATTCCCCGTATCTAACAAAACGTATCCTCGCCACAATCAGTCCATATATTGAAATGAGCACAAGCGATAAAGCGGTGTACGAACCTCAGGAAAACACAGAGGAGGATTTTGCTCTTTTAGTTTGAGCAACTTATGCCAGGAGTATCCGTTTTCGAGATGACCATTGTTTTCAATTCCAAACAATAGAAACTTATAATCATCTTAACCTGAAACCATTGTTTTCTACCCAAAATTACCGCTAAGAAAGCAGAAACACATCGAAACAGACAAATTTTTTTGTCTCCTCATTGTATGGAAAAAAGGTAAAAGAGAAGGAAACAGAGCCAAAGATTGTTTATAACGTCTCATTTATTAACATTTATGCTTAGTAAAAACGGAACATTACAAAATTAGTATTTAATACGAGCAAATTACAAAGAAAATAAAATTTGTTGACACAGTCAAACATGAATCAGTTATTGCAGCAAAGATCTAAGAGATCATCATCGATCCAGTTTCTCATTTCTTCCTCCGCAGGTAATAACAATAAGTCCATGTAAGAATCATTACCACAGTCTTGATTATAGTCAAAGCCTGGAGGAGCAGAGTTGGGCAGTTGAGTGAACGTACCATCGATCATGTAATCGTCGGTGGTGTTGTTGCCCTCAAAGTTGTTGTTGTCGAGAAAGAAGCCGTCATTAAGTCCAAACGCATCTTCGTTACAGAGATTATCCCAAAAGCTCTGATCCTCATACCCACCAACATTGATCATTGTTGAAACCACATTCGTCTGATCCTCAACAAGCTTCTCTTCTTTGAACATCCCTACATGACTTTCCAAGGAAGCATCCGACACTTTCTTGTTGTTTTCGGACGATGCCTTCTTATTTAGGAACATGGAAAGGTCGGTGCTTTTCTTCTTCTTTTCCTTGTCGCTTAATCTGCTGAATCGCTCGGCCATGTCTCTCACCTTGGCTCTATCCTCGGGCCATGTCTTGACAAACTCGCCTTCACGGTCGTAACATATGATGCAGACATCGATACCGCATAGCTCCGAGAGCTCGTACGCTTTCTTGACAACCGTCGCCTCTCGCCTCTTGTACAGAGCAGACGAACAAGTATGGTAAAGATTCGGGTCTTCCCACCCAAACCCTAACTTGGATTGGGGGTTAACCTTTGGAGGAGGAAGCTTGCCGCCGCTAAGGTAGCAATTGGCAATTTCCGAGGCAGAAGAGTAGCCGGAGAAGGAGTAAACAACGTCGGAAGTTTCGGCCGGAGAGGTTACCAGCACGGCGATGTTAGCACCGGAGAGAAGGCAGAGATCGGCGGCTTTGGAGAAGAGCGTTTGACGGCGTTTAGAGCAAGCCACCGATCGTTGCTCCTTTGTCTCGCGTTTCTTTATTTCAATCTTTCTCTTTGTCCTTTTCACCATTGTCGTCGTCATCCTCCCGCACTACTCGGAAATTAGGGTTTCAACGGTAACAACGGAACAAAATTTGATGAAATCTGCAGCGGTCTTAATAAATTTCAGCAGTTTTCGTAGTCAGAAACAACAAAACGTCGGAAAACCTAATCACGCTTGACGGCAAAATTGACAGAAAAAAGAGAGAGTGAAGAAAGAGTATAACAACAACCCTACGGCAGATATATATATAGGCATCGAGTGACGTCAGTTGACTAAGTCAAACTAATTTCCTCTTGTTTTACTCTTATAGTCAAATTTTTGTTTATATGGTTTTTTTTTTAATTACTAAAACAGTTTTTGTAAGTTTCTAAATACTACGATAATAATTTCATATTGACCAAAAATAGATATTTACATAAAATTAAAATGATAAAATACTATGTATTAATTTTCCAATAAAGTTTTATTTTTGTAGCATTAACTAAAATTTTGAAAAAGTTTAAATATTAAATAGTGAATGTTAAGCTCAGTGAAATATTTGCATTATTGCATGCCAAGGATTGTTTTTTTTTTTTTGAAAAATTCAAATCATAGCATGAACACGGGACAATCTATATTTCTTTATTGTGAAATTTAATCATTTAAAAACCCCATTTTAAGCAAATAAAATAAAAGAACAAATGTTACTAGGAACTGTTTATTTCGATATACATATATACATCATATTCTCGTCATTCTCTTTATATGGCTTACTTGATTAATAATTATAAACATCGGACAACAAAATTAAATACAATCTCAATATCCTAAAGACTTAAAGAGAATCCTACTAGAATTCTCATCGGATTAATAGATAATAAAAGCTGCAAAGCATGAAACTAAGCAAAGCAATTCAACGTCGTATATGGAACAACACTATTAGGAGAGCAAATAACAATGAGCCAAGCAAACTCTGCCACCACTTCAATTAGTGAAACTTGTTTTCTTTATTGACAATTTTTTTTTTCTATAAAACATATATATTTTTCCAGCAGAAATTATTTTGCTACACAAGAGACACATAAGAGTGTATTACTAACTTATGCGGATGCACCAATGTTCAAACATAGGCACATTCTTTATCTTGTTCGCTCTCGACAAGTTTCTCTTCCTGCTCCAACCTTTGTAGCCATTTCAGCCCCAGATCGCATCCTGCTCTTGCAGCGATTTGGAACTGCTCTTTTGCCATCTCTAATGGATCCATCTCCTGCTTCGTTCTTGATCTCTTGGCCGGCGAAACTCCCACAGTATTCAATTTTGTTAGAGATTCTGGAACTTGCACACCTGTAAAGTTGTTGACATCCTTCAGCAATTAACCTTAAAGCAAGAAACTAAACGATATGATATATTGTTGTCTTCCTAAGATCGAGAAAGCAAGATGTATTCGTGATAGGATCCGATGTAAAAAGAAGCAAGATGGGTCTAACCTCTAAGTAAAAGAGATCCATACGCAATTGCAGCACCGGCATGTCCCTGAACATATATGTGAGTCAGTCTATGGAAACTACAGCAACAAGTCTAATATTTGCACTTGCTCTCCGAGATTCAGAAAACGTTTTGACATGAGACGATGCTTGTTACGTTAATATTCCCAAAAGAGGAAGATATTATCAGACTTGCCTAGAGGTTAGGCTATAAGAGGCAGTAATGCAGCAGAAGTCTAACACTGCTTTACATGCACAGATCTAGATACAAAGTGGGAAGAGTGATTTCGCAAGACATAAGAGTTTCTGACCTTTTCTGAAGCCCTGTGGAAACACCATATGGCTGAATCCACGTCTTGCTTCACGCAGTCACCTGTCAGATACACTATTCCTAAAAGGTAGAGCGCACCTGGATGCAGCTGCAAAAGTTACCAACTCCAAGTGAGACATCTCTGAAATTTCTGAAATAATATGTTCATGCGATTCTACGAGCTGGACTATATACACTCATACCTGATCAACAGCATTCTCTATATAGTGAAACGCTTGTTGATCCGACTGGACATGATCATTCTGAAAGAAAGATAACAATTAGTATGAAATGGGAGAAAAATATTAACTAAGTGAACTTGATCATTTGAGGAAACAATCCTTCCCAAGAAGCAGACATTTCTCAACAGCGGAAGTGACAAAGATAAAGATGAAGCTTTAAAGCGTCTCCATGTGAAATTCTCAATGTATAATATCATATTCTCTTAGAGGCCGCGGCAAAACTGAAAACATAGAAATTACGAACTTATAAGTGACAGATTGTGAGCAAGCCTGACCTCGACTCTTAGACGACACCCTAGCTCATACTGAGCATCTGCATTACCCATGTCTGCAGCTTCCACAAGCAAAGCAGCTCCACTGCGATGATCATCAAAGACAACAACGTATGAATAAGAAGACACAACAAAAAGAAAGGCCTTTGCATTACATGACAAATTTCTTCCAAAGAGCACAAGCAAACTTCCAAATTATGAAAAGCCATGGAAAAATTCAGCTGATATTAAAACCTAGCCTGTTCTTACTTTAGTTGTAACTTTGACAAATACACTTACACAGCTTTACACGCACCAGGAACATGGTACTTCAAGTGCAACTTAGAAAGCCAGTATCTAGCATGAGTGTTCAAAGCATCAGCTTCTAGAGCAAGTTCAAAGTTCTCCTTAGCTCCCTGAACCAGAAGAAAAATTCCAATTCAGAAATATACAACCAAAGAGGCAAACAATGGATTCGTTATCTAAACTCGGAACAGCTGCAGAATGTGGTACACTTATGGCATAACATAGTAAAGAATTTAAGAGAAGTATATACCCTGAGGAGAGGGATAAGGCGTCGATCATTGAGTTCGCAGTAATCGATGACTCTGTCCACTTCCTTAATCGCACTCCATCCTTTGGCTACGTACTCCATTGCCTTCTTGTTCCTGCTGTGTATCTCTCTCTGACCAAACCACAAAACGTATATTACGGAGCCGATACCAGAGTCATTTCCAATGAGAATCCACAAAGGAAATGGCAGATTTATTGATATTACCCGCTGATCGAATCCGTAAAGTTGACGACCGAGCTTCGATTCCGCGGCGGCGGCGGAAGCTCGCCGGAGAATCAGGCGACGAAGCATCTTTGGAGAGACAAAGTGAGGACGAAGGAGATTCCAATTTCTTTGAGAGAAGACAACAATGGGCTTAATGGTAAATATAATTTGGTTTATTATTTCCCAGCCCATAAGCCCAACTTAGGCCTACAAATGGTCCGTCTTTCTCCAATTCCAATCTGTCACTTCGAAGATTATCCATGACCATTTTTTGGTGTGTTTTGGTCGCCATGACATCTTTACCCATCTACTCACGGTAAGTATATATTTTAAAATAACAAAAGGATTAAAATTCTGATAGACATACACACATAAAGGAAAACATATCAACAACCAAACTTATTTTCTCTCTATTGATGAACACTTAGGATCCTCAACAACATATTGGAAGAAGACAACAACAACAACACTATGAGCACTTGTGCCAGAAATGAACAATGAATAAGATTGATGTAAGAAAGTTCGTTTTGATGTAAGAAAATGGTTTTTTGATCTATACAGCTTCTTCTCTATACTCATCACAATAATAATTGATGTACAAATTAGTCCTTTTGACACTCCTTTATGGCCTCACACCATTCCTAGCGAAATGCTCCTTCATATCTCTGAAAGAAACACAAAGAGTTGCATCAAAGTTAAAAACCTGAAGTTGCATCAGAGAAGATTCAAAATCCATAAGAAGGAAAAAAAATCCAGAAGAAAGTTTACCTGCAGCGTGGGATCGGGCAAGTAGGATCGTAGCAATGGTATGCGTGAACCCTTAACATCTTCCACAAGTTCATGCAAATGTTACAAGCTCCTCGATCTTTGATTTCGCACACCACGCTGTGATTGAATAGCGTTTTAACAACGTTGCATTTCGGGTATGAGCACGAGTTAGCCGCCGTGGGTCGGCACGAAACTGCATGCAGCAAAGCGTCCAGTACCCCGAGAGACTGCGAGAGAAAGTCGCTTAATTCAGTAAACAGGTCAAACATAAAACCAGAGAAACAGAGAAAAATCTCAAGAAACAGAGCAATGCTCTGTTTTTTTTTTTTTAACATATACTCACCCCAACGGTTTTAGGCGGCGTTCCGTGAGTTGTAGGGGCCATGGGGAAGAGATGGTTATGACGAAGGGTTGTGTTTTTGGTGAAGCATCCGGTGCAAGCTCGATAACCCGAACAAATCAAACAAGAGTAGTAAATCGTCTTTGAAACATCCTTCTCGCAGGCCGTGCAGGTCACTTGAAAGAGACGGCTAGAGTTTTCAGAGCAATGGTGATGCTGCTTGTTTGAGGTGTGGAGATGGTGAAGTATCATCATCGAAGAATGCTTGGCTCGTCGAAGCGTATCGAAGCTGTAATTATGCTTCTGAGAGAAACCTAAGAACGCTTGTCTGCTTTCCAACATATTGTTTTCCAGGATGACATCATTATCCTCTGTTGTCGACTGTATGCCATTCACCTGAGCCTGGAGAAATCAAACAGAACCCCAGTTTAGCAAAACATACATCTTTTTGATGTCCTAAACAAGAAAAAACAGTCTGATATTAAGAAAGCTAACAACCTTTGAGAGCCGATGCTTCTCGTTGCCATTCACAGTATGTGTGTGTTCCCGTGGAAGCTCTTGTTCTGCATCATGGCATCTGTTTCCAATAGAGAAAGAGTTTTGTTAATATAAGCAAAACAGAGGAATCGAAATGAGTTACAGAGCAAAAGATCGAGAGGGATATTACCTTTCACACAATTGAAGATTCTTGCACTTCTCGCAAAACCATCTCAATCCCGATAATATTACCTCCGAGCAGCGTGTACACGAATAATTCAACTCCACCACCATGAAATCCTCCTTGTTTTGTGATATCATCTTTTCAAGCTACACAAAAACAGAATAGTTCAATAAATTGTATCCAATATTTAAAATCGAAGTGCATTCAAAACGTAAATGATATTAACCTTTTGCATCAGGAGAATGTTTTTAGCATCATCAGCATCAACACTATCCTTACTTTTGCTGCTCATCATACCCTTAAGCGCTCTTCTAGTAAGGGATTTAACCTTCTTCTGCAACTCGCTATTGCCTTCTTTCTCAATCTCCTGAACCAGGAGCTCAGCATTGTAGGACCAGAAAGATCCTTCAAAGTAAGGCAACCGGGCAGCTGTAATATTGCAGGTAGACTCCTCTGTCGAGACGAAGAACCGCTCATACAGGTTTGTAACATTCGTCACTACCCTCTGCTCGACTGCTTTATCCAGCATTGACACATACCTGAAATAATGTTGTTGTTAATGTTAAATCCAATTTCCTCACAAGAACAGTGACCAAACCATAAAGGAGCGGATAAAAAGGAAGAAAAGACTGACCATTGGCGAAGCTTCTTAGTGTTGGGGGTTTGCTGAGTCTTGGGATGAGAATACATAATATAGTCTTCTCCTTTTGGGGGTGGACACGCCCATATATAACCCGTAGTGAAACCACGAATCTTGCAATACTCAAGATAACCAATCTATCAAAACAAACAAAAAATGAAACAGATCAATGTCAATATATAACAGTTAGATGTTAATTGGTATTTAGCATGACTACGAAAAGTAAAAACGAATAGCTTACCAATATTTCATGATAAACGAAAGTTCGAAGAGCTTCTCCTGAGAATGTCACTCTCTCTGGTCTAAAGTACTTGACGGAATCGAGGTATAAGATGTATATGCTGCGTTGGTTTGGTTGGCTACATTCTGATCCAAACTCTTGGATAAACAACGCAAAGATGCATATATCAACTCCTTCAACTTTCTGGAACAGAAGAATGACCTGAAACATTGAAAGTAATTACAACCAAGTTCGGTTTGACATACATAACTGAATCAAAAAGAAAAATACTCAGTTGTGATATGAATTCTCACCTTTGATCTGTAAGGGAATTCACTAGGATAGTGTTCTTTCTGAAGAAACTCGGCAAAGTTTTTGTTGACGTATGAGTTTTTGTCAGCTGAAAACACCACCCTGAGAGTAAGATCATTTGGTTCCGATACCTGGAAAGAAGGAAGTAACGAGTTCAGTATAAAGATCAAGAAAACCGAGTTTCAGACCAAATCTCAAATAAACAGAAACCAAATAATTCTTACATCATTGATGCTCTTCCCAGTAGCCTTTGCGGTTTGGTGTCTTTCTTCTTTGAGGCGCTTGAATAGCCTTTGCTCTATAAAGTGGCTGAGGATGGTTTCAGGCAAATCTTTCGCCCCCAAATCCGTATTGTCAAGGAACCCTGTATTGTTGATACTTTTACGCTCCTCTAACAAACAGTAGGGACAAATGTAGTCTCCGGTTTTGTCAATGTCTTTATCTAGATTGTAGAGACCACATATCTGATGTTGCCAGTTCCCACAAGACCCGCAACAAACCCACTGCTCAATTAAAAAAAAAAACAGCTTATGTAAATTGTAAGACTTGATGTATTGAAAAAGATATATGTATAGAGAGAGAGAGAGAGAGATGAAGTTTACCTCCTCTGGATCTTGATTCTCGGCGTTGTTCTTCTTAAGCATGTTGGCTTTCGTAATACTGATTCCAAATAAACTGAACTTGCTTCTACAGCGAGTGTGACAAGGATTACAGAGTTGATGTTGCGCATCGCTTATTTTCTCCTCGGGGATGTAATAGACAGATTTTTCTTTGATTCTCCGGGAGCAAAGCGAGCAGTAGATTGGTACTGCTGGAAACATGAGTGGGCCTTCACCACACAATTGACATGGTTCCTCCTTGAGCTCAGCCGTTTCTTTGATTCCTCCCTGAACACTTCCTTCCTTGAAACTCTTTATATGCAACCTTATTTCCTCTTCCGTGAAACGTTCCACCAGTGAGACATCTCTCTTGTTACGCTTTTCCAGAGACGCTGTGTCAGCAATAGCCTCACACTTGCTCTGTTCATCACATTTCATCGGCTCAACAACGTCCAGTTTCTCTTGCTTCTTAGGCTTTTCCTCCTCTTGAGTTCCTCTTTTGCTCGAAAACAGATCCTCCAAAGAATAAACCCTCGTTGGATGCTTATTTTCACTTGATCGTTTTACATCTTTGCTAGTACCAAGACCCTGAACATGCTTATCATCCAAAGGAGAAATGTCCATCACATCTAGCTTCGTTACATCAGAACCTCCACTGACTGTCTCAGAGACTTCCTCAACAGCAAAGCTACTACTCACCGGCGTTGTGGGAGTATGGAAACATCTTCCACCACATGATGAAACCTCCTCAAAGCTCTTCATCGGAACGGGAACCTTCTGCTCTACAACGGGACTCGTCGGGTCCAGGCATACCTGAAGAGAAGGGAGCCTTAATGAATCGTTCCAAGGAGGACGGTTTAACTTTATCTGCGTTTCGATTCTCTGCCGTTTTGATGGGTGATAACCAGTTTCTGGCTGAAATGTTTCTCCAAGGAACATCTGATACTTGACTCCTCTATCAGATGTAACAACATTCAAATTCGGCAGCATGTTCAACTCCTGATTGAACATATCGATATCTGATTGGTTAGGCCTGGGGTTAAGATAGGTAGGCATCATGCCCCGATACCTTTCAAGTGGCAGCATCAGGTTATGACGGATTATAAACAATTGATTCTGAACATTCCACCTGCAAAATAAAATCCAAGCAACATGTCAGGATTATGAATGTGCTAAACAAAATCATTAAGCACAGAGAAGATGAAAAATTGCAATGGAGTAGCATAATCAAAACGCAATCTTAGATTTTTTTTGCCTTGTTTCACAAGTTATACAAAGTGTTGGATCAAGGCTCTTAACAGGGATCCATATAATATCCACCTGAAACTAATCAATCAAATTCACACTAAGCTTATAAAAAATCGAAACCTTTATTCAAAATTACAAAAAGCCATCTCTAAAAACAAAACACTAATTACGAAATCCCCAAATCAATTGCAACATTCTCCCCAAAAACCTCAATTCCTCAATTCGAAACCCTAATATTTGATCCTACGAGCAGACGGAATCACGATTCGGTAAACATTAATTAGCTGCGTCAGCTACGATCAATTCTCAGACAAAACCCCTGAAATCGCTAAAGACAAGTTACGAATTGCTCGAAGAAGAACCCGAAAACAAAATCCTAATCGCGAAAAATAAGAAGCAGAGAGAGAGAAAGAATGAAGGTGGAACCTTTATCTTTTCGAATTGTTGTGTTGTGTGTTCTGTGCTGTTCGCGCGCAACTCGAAGACAGAGAAAAGAGATGTTGAAAGAGAAAGTCTCGCTCTCTGACTTCGTTTGATCTCTGTAGTTACCTTTAGGGTTTCGGCAATTTCTTAATGTTAAAATTTAATGTTGACTCTTAAGGTTTAGAATAAAATACTGAGGCTTTATTTATATTGAGTCCCATTCTGTAAATATCATAATCCTACTCTTTGACGAGTCTTTTTTTTTTTTATCCATTTAATAATTTCGGCTATTTTCTACCGCTGCTTGCTTCCTAATCAATTTCGGTGTTTCCTAATCAATCTAATTATTTTCATAATTTTATCCATTAACATATCCGATATTTTTTTTAATATCTACACTCGAACTGTTCTTACTGGCTTGTTCGTTTAGGATTTTTTTTTTTTGTTTTAAATCTATATTTTAGTTTTCATGTCACTATCAATATCATCTGTTTTCTGTAATGTCATTTATTGAAAAAGTGTTTCAATTCGTTTTTTTTATAATCTTTGTGTGATCAACAATAAAATTACAGGTATCACTTTTTATAGATTCAATTTAACCAGTGTAGAACAGTTTTTGACCCGAGACTTTTGCAAACTCTTTTTTTTTTCATCCTGAACTTGTTCAACGGTCAAAGAAGTCCTTGTTGTAAAGCATTTTCTCATTCAAGTCAGATTTTCGAGTTCGTAAAACTCTAAAAATATGCCAAAAAAACATCTGTAACTATATCACACAAACCCTTCAAAATTACAAACTTTCTTAGCGTTTGAACCGGAAGTAAAGCCGCAAGAAAAGTCAAGAAATATCCTAATCTTTTGCACCTTGCAAACTAAAACTCTGTTGCTCCAAAATGTTACAACGCTAAACCAACGTAACTCTGAATAAATCAGTGCAAATGGATACAGTTCTAAGGCCAAGGACGTATATATTCGCTACAGCTCCGTTTCTAAATCTAAAAAGAAACAAAATTCTTCCCTAAGCAATACAATACAATCTCACATTCACTCACTAAGTTCATCTTCTGCTGCTAAATCTAAATGGTTCACTATCCTCCTTCTCCCTAATATTTGAATCATAGGAAGAGTAACTGTACCTTCTCTCTGATTCCCATTTGTCAAAGCCAGTGCTTGAACCAAAGCCGTGATCGTATCTAATGACATACCTTGGAGGATAACTCGACGACAGCTCAACACCTGGAGGACCCATTTCGCCTCTATGATCTCGTGGTTGATGATGTTGATCATGATAGTAACCATGTCCTGAGCTTTTCCTCTGTTCCCATTTCCATGAATCTGCGTTTTCCGGGATAGGTGCGTTAATCCCCGGAAACTCAACTGTCATTTTCATTTGCGGCTCTTGAGGGCTTGCTTTCTCCAAGATCTCACCGTCCTCAGTCGTTACTTCTCCTTCTTCTTTTTCTCCTTCTTCTGTTTCTGTTTTAGTTTCTTCCTCTCCAAATATAGTGATTCCAGAGAGATGATCGTCTTCCACAGCTACATATATATAAAACAGAAAGCAGAGACAAGTATGGCATGAACAAAGATGCGTTTGATATGATGATGGTGATAATGTTGGTAATATGAAGGATGAAGAGCAGGACAGCTTACCTAAATATCCAGGAGGATACCCAATCTCTCGCATTCTGTGAAGCCAAGGAGGAGGGTCGAGTTCCTGAAGAACACGATTTTTTGCTTTAATCAAGAAAGCTCATTTTTTTCTATGATTCAAGAGAAGAAGGTTGAAAATTTACCCCTAGACCAAGAAGCTGACGTGTCTCTGCATCAAGTGAGCCAGGCTTCAAGCCATCATATTTTCCACCTTGAGGGCTCTGATAATATCGAGACTGCAGACGAGAGCCAGAAGTCTGATTTCTTTTGCTCTTATGTTGTCTCCGAGCAATACTCACTGCTGCTCGATCAAATGGCTTTGTACATTCTCTCAGCGAATGACTGTATGCGCCACAGTTGAAGCAACGTGGAGGATCATCAATAATCTCCAAGCCTCTGGAACAACAAAGAATGAACAAGATGGATACCAAAGTATCAATAAACACATTCAGTGTCACAAGGTAAAACTAAAACATGTTAACTACAAAATCTAGATTCGTTTACCCTTCCAAGTTACTTGAACCATCGGCTGAATCTAAACCAATTGTAAATCCACCACGGTTATACAGAGGAGTAGTGCTACTTTCCACTGGAACAAACTTTTTTAAAGAATTGCGACCAGTTTGACAGTCGAACCAGAATGACTGAACATGCAAGAAGAATGTGTCTATCAGTAAGGATTACGAAAAAAACCTGAAAACGACAAGCTTCCACATGCATTTTCACTCACCACAGATGATGTCTTTTGCAATCCCACACGTAACGCAGGAAAATATGTCTCATCGCCAGATTCTAGTACTGGTTCTTCATCCTGTTCAAGTGGTCATATTGCAAAAGAAAAGATTCTTAGTTTACGTTGTATCATACTATATCACATTTTGTTATATGAATAGTGAAGGACAGCAAACAAAACTCCAAGAATGAATGACTTTTGCAAAACGATAGAATTCACTGTAATGCCTGAAACTTTAGAAAGACCTTAAATGCGTAGCTACCTCGGACAAATAATTTTGTTCTGCCTCCCATTCTGACCATTGCTGTAATAAACTTTCCAGCTTCTGCTTACTAGCTCTGAAAGATGCAGGACACAGAATCAGAACAAGTAGAAATCCAACAATCATATCAAGACAGTAATGCTTGAGCATTCAAATGTTTATAGTTACTTGTGGTCAAGTTAAGAGCTTCCTTTTCAACTAACCTAGTTAAGTGTTTATAAGTAACATGGACTGAAGGTTGCTGTTCGTCAGAGATTGTTCTGGCTCTTTTAACACCAGTTTTAGCTGATACATGGAGTTATGGAAAAAGAGTAGAAAAGAAAACGTAATCACATGCATTCAAGTCTCAGGTTAACATGATTATATTAAAGCGTTTTTGAACGAACTATACTCAAAGGACTATCAACAGAGCAAAGGTAGGTTTTAGGAACGCAAGCATTAGCAATCTTCAACATAAAAAGGAAGAGAAAAAAAAGGATACAACTAACATCCACACTCACATGGAGATGATCCTTAACCTCCACTATCGATGTTACCCCTGAAAATTGGCCAGACACATTTCTGAAATCATCTTCTGTTAGATCCATGTCTTCCTCCATCCCCATGTCTGTATTCCTTTCCCCATCCACATCTGATAGAGTTAAGAATCATAAACATAAATAAAACCAAAAAGCTCTTCTTTATTGAAATTAAAGCAACTAAAACAACAAAAACCAATAAACCCTCCAAAGCACTCTCTTAACTTATCCCACAAACGAGACCTCTCTTTACTTAAACTAAAACGTCAAAGCAAAGCACTTTTAGGAAAAATGGAAATAAGGAAACATGGACCTTTTACCAGAATTGAGGTCGTTTTTCTGAATTTGCAAACCAGAGCCGCTTGAAGCTGCCATTTTTAAATACCCTGCATCACTTAGCAATGAGCAATACAGAAACGAAACAGTATATAATTGCAATTTAAAGGACTCAAATCAATATTCAGAATCCACACGCACAGCTAATGAGATTGCTAGGATTTGTCAAGAAATCAATTATCAGTCTAAACCAATTCTTTAGCAATAATAATTAAAAAGAAAAAAAAGAAAAGGCTCGAGCTAGTCAACTCAATCCCAGCTCATGAGCTTTCCTCCAAAACCCAATTGAAACTCATGGGGAACAAAGGAAACTTGAAGCAACAAGAATCAAAATTGTTAAAACTTCAAACATTAGGGCTGACGAGTTTACGAGAAAAGTGACTACCGCAAACCAATAATCTCCGTAATAACTTCAATTCGAAACTAAACGGATAAAACCCAATTGCAAAAACTCGAAATTGAAGAGAATTTGAAACGACACGAAGCTCGCGAAAGAGAAGAAATTAGTATTAGCTCTGATATAGCTGATTTATAAATTAGAATGTGAAAGGATACCATATAGAAGAAGGAATCGAGAGAGAGAAGAAAGGCTTCACCTTTGTGGCAGTGACGAGAGTGATGGTGAAGAAGGAGAAGTATGGCGATAGATCTGTGGGGATTCAAAAGAGAGGCTTTTATTGGTCCGCCCAAGAAAATGGCAAGTCATCCAATGCGACCAAGTGCACCGTAATTATTATATACCCACCGAACCACGCTGCGTTAAATTTCCTTATGCGTGCTTTGTTATTAAAAAAGCACAGGTGGTTCGTTAAGTTTCCTTTTTACGTACAATCCACTACATATTATGTATTGGAGAAGTAATATTATTGAAAAAAGCTAACTTGTCAATATTACAGTCAAAGTTAATACTTTTAATTGATGATATGTAAATGTGACTTGTCAAACTTTTTAAAATAAATGAAATATTTTGATTGATTGTATTAAAATTAAAAAACTTATAGAATTAAAAACTAAAAACACTAGATTATATTTATAACACTAAAATTAACAATTTTTAAATTAATAGAAAATAACTATTATTATGATTTTAATGTCTTACATATATACATAATTTCATAAAAAAAACTAAAAACTGTTTTCAACAAAAATATATATATATATATATATTCATATGAAATCAAAAAAATAATACTAAATTATCCAATATAATAGTAAATATTTTATATATTAATAATGTTTGACGTATGATATATTTTTATTTTGGAAAGTTATTAGTTTACAAAATATAGTAATAACATCTAAACAAGTTTTAAATAAACAAATTATTAAATAATATAATTTTAAATAAAATACAATCATAATAAAAATAATTTAAAGAATAAAATGTTAAAAATAATAAAAAGGATAATTAACTTTTATTGAAATTTTTTTGAAAACGTAATTTAAAATAAATTTTTGTTTCAAACCAATATTTACTTAATGAATAAAGTATATACTAATTATTATTTTATAATATAAATATGACCATATATTTTTTATAAAACTTTTATCACCTTTTTATTATTGTTTTCTAAAATATACATAACTTATGTTACCATCTCATCTTATCTCTTATCATATTTAAAAAAATTATATCATATTCATATATATATATATTCATAATTCTTTTTATTGTATATCAAAAATTAGAGATCATAAATGAAATAAAAAATAGCCGAACAAAATAATAAATTAAAATAAGATGAAATAAATATGAATAAGAATTAAAAATAGAAGTGTATAAAAATAAGTCTCTCGCACTTTGTTTTACAAAGTCACTTAAAAACTTTTTAACATGTAAGAGTCATATTTCAACTTTTTACAAATACGCGTACAGACATAAATATTAATTGTGCATTAGTAGAAGTCACATGAACTTTTTCGCGCATGTTAGTATTTGTTAAGCTTGATTACAGTCTAATTTATATTTTAATTTTTATTGTATAATTTATTTTTTTAAAAAATCTTTATCTATTCAAAGTGTAGTGAGGTGGTTGGTACCCCGGCACATGCATGCTAACCACCTATCCGCTCTTAGGATAAGTAAAAATGGTAAAAACTATTTCAGTTTAATTTGCAATAAATGAAGAAAAAATATATACTTAAAAATATATTATATACATATTTTAAATTCATATTATGTAAGACGTAAAAAAGTATTGTAGATTGTGTAAGATGAAATAAAACATATTATAAATAATATTCAAAAAATATTATAAGAATTTAATTATTATTTAATATAATTTTTCTATTTTTGATTATATATTATTTCAAATTTCATAAAAATAAAAAGTTTTAAAATACATTATTTTGAGAAATAAATTATGAAATACTGAAACAATATATATATCATATATATACAAACATACTAATGTTTTAACTATATATTTAAAAATATTATACCCGCACATATGTGCGGACTAACCACCTAGTTGTTCACTACATTCGTAACTTTGTAATTGTTTAAATGTTGTTTTATATATATAATTTTTTGTTGTTGTAGATTGCCAAACATGAGCCATAGATTGCTTTTCTTCAGTCCTCCACCCAAAGCTTCGAACAGATTACCACTCCTTCACGACGGAGAAGGCGAACATTGGTGGTGGAAGAAGAGCAATCAATTCGGTTTACAGGGGCGATGAAAATTAGGTTTGGTTTAAGATTGCTTAGGTTTGTGTTTATATATATATAAACGATATAACTATGGAGTTGTTATAGCAAGATGGTCGTGCGCTTTTGAATTTCACTTGAAGTACTCTGGCTCGACTAGCAGTCCGTGTACATTTTTTATTTAAATGTTTAAAACGACTTAGTTTTGATAAATTATACATGTTTATATATAGATCAGAAAACTATATACAGACAGACGAAGGTTATACTGCGGATTGAACGAGTTGACCTGCATTTTTTGATAATAGAGGGTACAGTTGCAAATAAAAAATACTTAGGGTTAATTTATAGAAAACCCTTCTATTAAATAGCAAAAAAAAAAAATTACACGGATATATATGACTTTTATAGTCATAGAGTTCAAGAAAGTATAAAGTATTTTGAGAGAGAGAGAGAGATGCATAGGATAGAAATACGTTTCATATCTTATTACCTTGCTTTCGTTTACTTGGAACAACTGAAAACAACAAGAAACCTCCAAAACTTTTCTCTATTAGATTTGAGCGTCAAAATATCTCTGTTTTGATTTGATCCACACACACAAAAAAAAAGCTTCTCTGTTTTGCATTAGTATTTGAAGAGTCTATTACCATAACAGGAGATTCTATGTAACGAAAAAAAAAAAAAAAAAAAATCTTACATGAAGGAAAACGGAAAATGCTAGAGATGGAGAGGCACGACTGATTAGTTAAACAACTCGTATGGATTGACGCAACCACTCTTGAAGAAAATAGCCTACCAACAACATAAGGTGAGTAAGAGTCACAAAGTCCTAAACATTTTGCAAAAGCTTCACGTTCTCTACATGATCTAGAGAGATGTGAACTCTATGGTTCTTAAACGCATTCAATCCTTGGATTTCAACTCTTCTGATAGTGTTCTTCTCAATGTTGTAGTACAAAACATAGAAACAGTCAGATGAATAATTGTCGTATAGATAGCGCGGCGATAACACGATTTCATCTGTACCAATCAGTCCAACAAAGACTAAATGGGACTCTCCAACTACATTCTTCCACAAAGAGGGCAAAACAGCAGATATATGTTTGGACTATTCGTGTCTCTCAGCGTCTACTAAAACCCACAACTCAAAACATGTAGTGTATCTATTAACTAAAGGGCCACCCCTATCTGTCGAAAGAGTAGCTAATTTACTTTTGTAGTTTACCAGAGCTGACTCAGTCATTAGTGCCATGTCCTCAGGTATGTTAATCAATCCAAACTTCTCAGACCTAACATCAAACCAAATGATCAAAACCCTTCGAGGGTTAAAGACCACAGCTACAAAATACAAACGACCATTGATGCATATCCCATCATTTGTTGCATGGAAATAATGGGAAATGCAACATTCCACAATTCTCCATGAAAGTTTTCGAGTCCCTAATGTCAGAACCTGATGCTCAGAAGACTTCCATCCTCCACGTTCCATATACGTCGAGGTCATGGACAAAACCTTGAATTGTTTATCAATAGGATCAAATCCAAGAAAACTGTTCATTTCAACACTATTCGTCTTCACTTTCACTTTGGGAAGAGTTAAGGATTGCCCCATGCTAGGGTTACATATCACCTGCGGCTTAGTTTTATACGTTATACAGACCAAACCGAGGACAGGGCCACGAGTTTTGGACTGATAATCAAAAGGGAACTTCATATGGTGATTGGCCAGTACGATACACGAGTTCTCAACCGGATTTCGGACCTGAGGTGCCGAGAAGAAGAGCAAATCATCGCCATAACTACCTTGGAAGGAGAACAAGAGTCGCGGGCGAGCAAAGGACCTGGTCAGGAACAGCTCCGTGAAATATGGACCCACAAGTGTGCAAGACCATAGCTTCGATACACAGCGACATCTCCCTATAGATTTCGCCGGCAATCTCAATAGTACTTCGATGATGAGATCAACTAGGATCGTCTCCGAGGTCTGAGATCGTGTGTTGCATCGATAAATGGTTAGAGCCTTCTCGGAGGCTAGCTGCCGCCGTGTTTCCATGGCCGTATACACACTCCTCTAAAACCCTAGATTCCCTCGTCGACGGAGCTACAGTAATTAATTTGACTGATATCATGTAGCCGAAATCAGAAAAATTAGTGACTGGTGATTTATTTCGGTACGAGTTAACCGACCAGATCCGATCCGGCCCATATCATTTCTGAATTTGTATCTCTACAATAAAAGATGGCTAACTTTACACCTCATCATTTTGGTTTATTGTAGAAATGATATGTATTATTTTTAAAAATTTAATGATAAAAATTATGTAAAATACAATTAATGCATAAATTTAATATATTATTAATCATAATACTAAAAAAATATAAAAAATATGAAGAATTAGATAATATATTTTAATAACAATATATATATAATATCCAAAAATAATTATTTAATATCTATTTTGTGGTAGTTTTTAAAAATCATTAACAAAATTTATGTTTTATATTTAAGAATGTTTTCTTATTTTTAATTTATATTATATGATATTATTATAAAATTAATTGTACAAATATAAAAATAAAAATTATTTTATATTTTGAACCTTAAAAGTTAGAAGAAAAATTTATACAATATTATAATAATTACTTTATAAAATAATAATTATTTGATAATTTATTTTATTCAAACTTGATCCATTAATAATTTTAAAATTAATAAGATATCAAAGTTCTAATATATATATATATATATATATCTATAAAATATTTAATGCAACTGTATAAATTATAATTATAAATCAATTATTTAAGCTCATAAAAATATCAAACCACGACATTGCTATTGTGTAAATCTACGCCGTGAACAAGTACAACATGTTAAAAAGAGTCGTCTATATCTATGTTGTGCTTGAAGAGTTTCTCTAATTAGTTTTTGTTATATAGTACTTCTCTGATTTGCACTATATTCATTTAATATATTATATATATAAAAGGTATAATATATTTCACATTTTCTTATCAATAAACAATTGATCACATATATAGTTAATATCCACATAATATATAAATATGTATTGTATATTTATTCAAATACACAATATCTTTTAAATTTTTTAAAATATACGATAAAATAAATTGTAACTACACTTTTTTAATAAATTATATTGTAAAAAATCCGCGCATCATGCGGGTACTCATCTAGTAATATATAAAAATTGATGGCATAGTGCATTGAGGGCGTCCACATGAGATTAAAAAACTCGATCTGATTGGTCCACATCAGCATATTCACTAAATTAAAAAATGTTAAGTATGATTAGGACGGAAAAACTTGATTTAATTGGTCCACATCAGCTTTTAAATCAAACCAAAAATTATTATGTATAATTAAAACATTAAAAGTTAATTTAGCAAATTATGTCCAACAAAAAAAAGTAAATTCAATTTGATTGATCCAAATCAACATATTTATTAAATCAGAAAATGTTAATATGATTTAAAAATTTAAAAAGTTAAATAAAAAATTAACAATTAACAATACATGTATAAAAAAGTAACTATTATCAATTACCAATAAAAAAAAATTACAACAACTCGATTTAATAATTAAAACAATGAAAACTGGATAAAAATATAACATAAAACTCTTGGAAAACATGATGGATAAGGAAAAAAATGGTTTTGCATGATCATTACAGTTTCCTAACAAAATTAAATGCGAATCAATATGAATTATAGATTATATATACAGTGGTACACAACATCAATAAGACTTTTAATAAAAAACTAAATATTTGAACACATAAACCTTAAAAAAAAAAATATAGAGATTCTATGGAAAACATAAAATAATATCAAAATCTTAGCAATATTATATTTCTCTAAATCAAATGTATATGTACGTCAAAGTTGGATAAATCGATAGGTGTCATTATTATTATTTTACCTAATAGTTTTTTAAAATTTATAAATAAAAAAGGATAAATTACACATTATATATTAAATTCTCTTATATAAATGAAATTTTTTATAAATATATATAATTTTTAATAATTTTAAAGATAGTAACTAAAAAAAAAAAATCAAAATATTAATACAGATTCGCGCGTAGCGCAAATTATATACCTAGTTATGTTTAAAAGAGAGGCTTATAAATTGCACCTTAACTATTTGTTCACACGATGTTTTTCTTACGATTCACACAGAAAAATATTAACAAAACAGATGCAGTTAAATTACACAATACAAACCCATCAAATACAAACAACGTTAAACCTTCAAACCAAAAAAAAAAAAACAACGTTAAACCTTCTAATAATGAACATGGGAGACTTTTCTTCTAGTGATCACCATTTTTTATTTATTTCATACGCGGGTTCGAGCCACTGATCATTCCTCCTCTTCGTTAATGCGCAAGAGATGGAGCCAATGGTGGCAGCCGTCGAGGGGAACGCCGTCGACGTGGACGACAACAGCATATGAAACAAATAAGCCAACCTATAAATCGAACGAGTTGGATTGTGATTATTAAAATAGGAAACACAATCCAGACTGCCACATAAATCAATACTATATAAATAATGTAATCGTCCTCGGAATTAACCAACGCCACCGCGAAGATAAATCCCGCCGATATACAAATAACCGCCACCAGCATGAAAGTTACCAGGATTCCCATTATGAACCGGTTCCTATAAAATAATTATAACATCAAATACTTCTAGTGTTTAATTTATCTTAAAACAGTTCTAAAAAAGTCAATTAGATAACTATACTATTTATGAAATCATACTTTTCAACTAACGATCGAATTAATAGTTCTCATCAATCATACATATTTTGTCTCAAATTTATTACTATATTAAATAATATCTTGTCACACATATTTACACAGAAAATTCAAAATTAATAATCTGAACTTATTATTGTATGAAGTTGATTATATAATTTATCAACGGTACCTGAGTCGTAAACCGCTGATGACGAGGAGAATGATAGTCATGGAGGCAGAAAATGATACTGTACTGCTAATAACCATTCGAACATAGAGTCCATGCTTCCTGTGCTGCAGTACCGAAGTTCCGGCTTTCCACGTGCACTTTTTTCCGAAAGAACACTCATCACTTTGCCATACGCCACCTGGAGGATTAACCATAACTTGAAAGCTCATAGCGGCTATAACCGTTGCTGCAACCATTAGATTTCCTCTTGTTTTCTCTAGCCAATCGCCTTGTCGGTCCAGGTATTTTACGAACCATTCCGTTGATTCTTCGTATTGACGATTTTCTTCAATGTTGATCTCCATGGTTTGGAGCTGTGGATATCTCAGAGGTGCTTTTGTTTCTTAGTTTTTGATATAAGCAAAATGATATATGTGACATCTCTTTTCCACGAATTTATAGTGGAAAAAACGAGAATTGTGTTTTTATGAAAGGAGGTAAGAATTTCGGGTGTGATAGCAAAAGTTTTTATTTTTGTTTTGTGTTACACAGAGTTCAATGTTTTTGGGGTTTAGAATAGTAATTGCAATTTGCACAATATCAATTTTGACTGTGTTTTGTTTTGTTCTTTCAAGTATCATCCAAGAGGTTGTAACATGATGTGTTTTTATAAGAAAGGATCTCATTGTGTAACCTGATGTGTTTGTATTATGTTTCGTAATTATTTTTTACCTTTAAGTAATTCGAAAACTAAAAATATACTAAAGTATTATATATAAACACATCATTAATAAAGGGATACATTATTAAGTTAGTTTATATATAAGCTAAATCTCTTTTTTTTGAAAAAGGTACATATAAATTAAAAGTCAAAATTTTATAGTCAACAAATACTTACATACTATAAAAATAATTTTCTTTTCTTAAAATACAAAGAGATTTTGATTAAAAAAAATACGAGAAATTCCCTCAAATACACCTAATCTAAGTTTTTATTCCATATATACACTAACACTCTATAAAATTCCTTCCATAACATTTTGTACCATATTAATCTAAGTTAGACAAAACATTAGTTAATAAATAAAGAAGAAAAATAATGTACAAACAAATGTATAAATGGCCAAGACTGATTTGAAATTCGAATTATTTATTTTGTTTAGGATCTCTCTTCTCATTTGATTGTGATTTGTGATTGTGAATCTCTCAGATCTTTGAGATTTTTTAATAGGAAAGTGATTTCTGAATTTAAAGCTCAAAATCATATAATGATAGATAGATCTGATATAATTGGGTGAAAAACTCAAGAAACTCAAACTAAAACATCATCAATGGTGAAAAAAAAAAGAAATCGGCGGAAATTAGGGTTTGAATGTCGCAGATGTGAGGAAGGAGATGAACACAAATTTAGGAAGATAATCTAAAGTTTTATGAAGACTTTCCTAAAATATATAAATTAAGGAAATCATTACATGTATTTAGGAACGCCTTCGTAAATCGTATAATTGATTATTATTTTTGTTAATTTATACAACTCAAATTAAAAAAACCCTTTCAGGCAGCTTTTCCACAATTCAGGAAACCCTTTCACAATTCAGGAAGCCCTTCCACAATTCATGAAATTTTTAAAAAATTAAGAAAGCTTTCATAAACCATATGAAATGATGTTAAATTCTAGTATTTGGAAGAATTTCCTAAAAATATCATGCAACATTAATAGAAAAAAAATATTTGGAAAGACTTTCCTAAAAGGTAAAATCGGAAAACTCAAATGAAAAATGTTAGGGATGGAAAAATTTCAGCTTCCTTGTTATATTTGTCCTGAAAACTTATTTTCAGTGTAATTATAGAAATTGCCCAAAAAATAATATGTATACCTCGACCTACATTTTTTTTGTTTTTTAATCATTACACAACTATAATTCAGCTATCAAATATCATCATTGAATTGGCATATCAACAGAAGAAAAAATAAATTAGAAATGATATATTTTCTTTTCAGTAAGAGCATCTCCAACCCTATATCAAATCTGGTTTTAAATTTCATTTTGGAATAAAATGTGCTTTAACACCATCTCATTTTCAATAGCATAATGGTATAATGCTATTTTTGATTTCAAATATAAAATCGTTTTATGTTGAATTCCATTTTGCAATTGAACTTTTTTATTTATAAACTAGTCTTTCAAATTCTTAATGTTTTATATTAGGAGATAAATAATTATTTTGATGATAATTTCTTCTTTTTTAATGGTTATAAATATTAAAACATTCTATTCTCTAAAATTAAAATACAAATAATATTTATTTAATAGAAAAATAATAATATAAACCATAATACATTTAATTTGTTTGAAATTAATTAAATAAATGGGTTTATTTGTAAATTTTGAAAGTATGTGTATAATTAGTAATTAATAATTAAAGAATATAATTAAAATATTCTTTCTCAAATGAAAAATGCAATCATACATTGAAAAAAATTCCAATTATATTTTACAATTATTTTATTTTGGTATGAAAAATGGTATCATACATTGGAGATACTCTAACATGCAACATGTGATGTACTATTGTACTGATTTGTATGCGGGTTTGAATTCGATCAGTGACGTACGCAACGATAACCAGTGGTGAGGCCATTTGTATCATATAAATATTATAAGTTAAAAAATTGACCTCTTTAAACCAGTGGTGAGGTCCAGGTCTCTCTACTCTAGTTAGTGACACTATATATTTATTATTAATATTTAATTTAAATGTTGACACCAATAAAAATTCTCTCTAAACTCAGCCACTGACGAGACGATAACACTAACACAAACTATTACATGTTGTATGGTCTTCTTCTTTTTCACATGTACCGTTGATTGTAGTTAACTAGTTGTGTTGACTGCTAATAAATATAAGCTAAAATTCTTTTCGGAAAAATTAAGAAAACATAGAAAAATACCAGACTATTCAATTTGAGGTGTAATTAATTTTTTGACAGGGAAATAGTTGTCTTTGTGGAAACATAGCTATTTTGTGGCCAATCCAAAGCCAAAATGGCCCAAGGAAATGATATTGTGATAACGATCACCAAATTTCTCCATAAAATAAAATAAATGGCCACAAAATTTCAGTGATTAAACTCGTGGCCATACAACATTTTTGAACTTTCCAAGAATTTCGCCAAACGTGAAGATGTCTTTTTTTTTGTTTGGCCACATAATTTTCACATTTAGCCACGAAATTTTGTGGGCATACCAACAATCCAGAATTTTTACAAAACTTTTCTAAGTTATAATATAACTAAGAGATTGGCCTGCATACATGTACAGGCTTAACAGTTTTTAAAATATAATTTGTTAAATATAATATTTAAATTTATCTCAAATATTTTAATTTTGTAGTATATGAAACTCAACGTCAGTAATAAATTATAAAGTTATAAATTTAATTGTAAAAAATAATTTAATTTTAACTAAACATTTTACTATAACAAACGGTCCAAATATTTAAAACAGAGCTAAAAAATAATAATTAACATAAAAATTATATTTTTTTCATAATTAGGTTTTATAAAACTTAACCAAGATTGAATATCGGTTACCTATTTTCTATTTGCAGATCAAGCAAACATATATCTCTAAGTTTTATCTTTTCTGTCTTTTTTTTTGTCTGCAATTTTTCTTGGTCTTCCTCCTGTGGCATAACCATAAAATATAAGCTATGTACAAAGCTTAATTTTAAAAAGTATATGGATGAAATACTTACGTTTCTGCAAAACAGGTGTTCCAATTGGAGTACTCAAATTATCAGAAAAAGATGTTTTTACTGGTTTGCCTCCTGTAATTAAAGTTAAAAAAAATCATAAATATATAGAATAAAATTTCGTTTATGTATGATTCCACTAACTCTTTTGAATCGGAGGTGATTGATCATCTGAAATTTTTTTCGGTCCTCCACCTATTATTGAATGTAATATAACGATTGTTAGCACAGTTACGTAAAAGTTGTCATCGAAAGTTAACAATACCACTTACGTTTTTTGGATGGTGGTTTGACACTTTTGTTTTATTTGTATGTTGATGATCTCATTGGTTATTCCTGTTTACTTCTGAATTGTTTAGCACATTGAAAAAGTTATCTTCGAAGAAACATTTTTGGCTCATAAAAACAAAGATTATCGCAGTTTAACGTTCTTTGTTTAATCTGTTGAAGTTTGATATATTTTTTCGAAGATCACAAGATATTCTAAAATATCTAATAAAAATTTACAGATAGTTTTAATCTATTACAATTATTAAATCATAACTAAAATTCTAATAATAATCTTCTTTCTGTAAACAATATTTTCGGTTGTTACTTATTGATATGATCCAACTGAAAATATATACAGATTAATATTCCATTTTATGCAAAATTTTTAGTTTAATTCAGCATAGCAAGTGGACTAATCTCTATAGTAAGTCCCATTTTGAAAGTATTAGAAATAATAAGTCCAAGGTGTTCTTATATTTACAATAATGTTTATTATATTTACTCTTTTTCATATATTTAAACAACTGTTTGTTTTTGTCAATATTATTGTGGAATATTAATTATACTATTGTCATTTAAGAAATTTTGAATTAGGGTTTGAATTGTTTGATACTCAGCTAATGGTTTTTGTGAACTTATTTATATAAGAACCCCATAATTTAACTTGTACATTATATAACGATTGTTTTTTTTTGAAATGCAAATCTGTTACAATCTTACCAGTTGGCATATTTTTGTATTGGTTATTATTTTAAAATGTTTTTGAATAATAATATTGTTAAGAAAATAATAAACTGAACAGTTCGAGAGTTACTGTTACAATAATAATATTGTTAAGATACTAACATCTTTAACATCTTCTTTATTTACCATGAAGCTAAATAACAATAGACATTAAATGTTTCTAATAATCTCGACTATGCTCAGAAACGTAAAACATAAAATACATTAAAGAGTGTTAATTAGAGCGTTGCATATGACTTCATGTAAATGAGCTTTTATTCATGCGTTATTCTTTTGCAGACTCATAATGTAATTGTAAACCTGAACCACCTGAGATAATCACTTTCTCAATTCTCATGCCAAACCAATTTGTGTTGGATGCTTCAGTTCTCGAGGAAATCTAAAATCTACGGTATCTTGAGAGCCTTTTGCGGAATACACCTAAAATGAAATTTATTTTTCTTAATAACAAAAGCAACAATGTCGACAAAAACAATTAAAACTTGAAATAGTATAACGTTTTCAAATTTTTAAGAAAATGATTATTATCACAAAAAGCGAATTAAAGTTGGAAACTGTACCTGCTGCCCGAAGAGAGTGACCATACTGATTTGATTCTGCTTAGAACTTTCTTTATATGATTCAAAACGTTTCTTGGACAAACCGTAAAAATACATCACAACACTTCTTTATCTTATTTACTCCACGGCTCGTCCCTGTCAAATTGCAATCAACGAAA